CTTGGGAGGTGCCGGGGTTCATGTGTGAGGGGCCGACATCACCCCCCACCCATTTGGGTGTTCTCCCAGAATGCAGCGCCAGATTTCATCACAAGTTGTTTTCCCCACAGCAGTTACCAAAAAAAAAAAAATACCTTCATTAAGTTTTTATGTGTGTTCTTAACGTGGGAGCTGTTGGAGTCYGTGAGGATTGACATCCTGTCCCCTCCATCCCCTGGCTGTATTTGCCCATGCAGTGCCAAAATCAACACAAATTGTTTCCCCACAGGAGTTATCAATAAAAATGTCTTATATTAAGTCCTTTAAAGTACAAACTACATGTGTCCCTAACAGCCAGTATCCACGTGTGAGGGTCAACATCTTCCTCCCGCCATCCCAGCCAGGTTTTTCCCGTTCAGCACCAGAATTCACCACACAACTCGTTGTTATTCTAGTAGTATTTACAAAAAAAAAATCTTTATTAAGTCATTGTATGGCCTGACTGCTATCCTAGAGCTGTGCTTATAATTTAACAGGTTTCAGTGACAACAACACAGGGAAMAACCACCACGGAGAAGCTTCACACCCACACAATCCTCAGAGGATTTGTGCCACATTTCCCATTTTATCAGCAGTCCCACATCAGGTTTGCTCCACAATCAAATCCCTGTTTATAACACATTTATAACACACACACTCTGATATCAATAGTGCTGGTGCACAATACGTGAAAATATCCCCTCGGGTTCTTTTCCATCTCCCAGGGCAGCCAGGAACCCTTCCTGTCTCCTCCTCTGGGCTAAAGCAGCCAGGGACTTGAATGTCTTTGGTTCATAAATCGCCAGATCAGCCAGAACTTTCCTGTTCAGCTCCACCTGAGACTAAAGATAAAAAAAAATTCTTGGTTAAGAACTGTGATTTTTAGGGACAACACTGCAATGCTCAATCACTCTATATTAAACACAATAARCACTCTTTACTGTTTATATAAACACTCTCCATTAAGCATTGTGAAACATTCTTAAGGCTTAAGACTGAGGTCTTAAAGCAGATTAACTTTTTTCTATCCTGTACAATTCTGCAGCAATTCTGTTTCAGACACTCTCCTGGCCATGGATGTCTCATTAAACCACTGTATAAAAATTATTTTTAAACTTTTTTTCCACCCTGTACAATTCTGGAGCAATTCTCTTTCAGACACTCTCCTGGCCATGAATGTCTCATTAAGCTACCATGTAAAAGTTATTTACTGATTTTCTCCTAAGTTTTTCTGGTATAAAACCAAAAACTGAAGAAGAAGCTCTCATTTTGCTCAAGGCCACATGTTCCAGGTTAATCCGTGGCATTTGTTTCAACTTGAACACATTAAAACAGTGCCAACAAATTAAAATGAACTAAAATTCRAACAAACAATCTCAAAAAAAAGTAAAACAGAATTAACAAAATTAAAGCAAATTCCTAGAATGTTTAAAAAACAGGGACAATGGCAGTGAAAAGAATAGGGATTTCTTACGGTTTGGGTTTTTTGCTAATTTGTATTTTTTAATTCTTGAAGTAAAAGAAAAGGCAGCTGTCACTGAATGCCCACAAAAAAACCCATTTTTTTAAATCTCTTTCTTAACATACTGAATTAAAATTTTGGGGACAGAACATTGAGTAGAGCCACAATGTTCACCAGGATAAAAGGGGACAATCCAAACAGGGAAGAGAAACAAGTTTAGGGCAGAACTTTGTTCCTGAAGTGAGTGGAACTGCTTGCACAAGCAGAAGGCCTTTCATCACTGTAATTAGTAAGTAATTATTGTAATTATTCCTCACATCCTTACCTTGGCCAGGTTGCTTATGAAGGCTGGGTACTTCAAACCATGTTCAAGGGAGGCCGCTTCAATCCTTGTGATCCAGAGCTGAAAGTGTAAAAATAAGTATAATTAATAATTAATAATTGTAACATATTATTACATTTAATCATATATTATAAAAATACATATTATATATATTTATATGTAACATATTATATATTTCTATTATCAAAAAATATAAATATACTATAATATATACTAGAAATATATCATTATATGATAAAATATATTAAGTATATAAAATATATACATATATAAATACATAAAATGTATTTAAAATAAATGAATATCCTGAGCTAGAAGGGACCCACGAGGATCATGAAAAACAATTATTTCACGTCTGCCTTGCTCTCATTTTGATGTTTCCACCCAAAATTTTGCTCTTTACCGCTCTGAGGAATCTTTTCTTCTCCCTCCTGGCCTTGGTGGACCTCACAAAAGCCCTGCGGACGCTCCTCACTGCCAGCCTGTAGCATCGGTTCTTCCTGCCACGAAAATGCTGGAAAAAAAAGCCCCAGGATGGAAGAATTTAATTTTATTTAAAGCTGTCCAACCCTTCAGTAACATCTGCATTTCACAGCTCTTTGTAACAACAAGAATCTCTGTTAATTGTCACAGAATCCTTCACAAGCACCCCTAAGTCTTCAGTTTGCACATAATGAAAATATTATTTCCTTGGTTTATGTCATGAAAAAAATTGAAGCTGAGGAGTTGGGTCAGGCTGGAGAATCTCAGTCCAACAGAAGGAAAACCAGGCCTTACTTTGGGCTGTTCTACAGCAAAGATAACCACAAAATCACAGTCAGTGCTTTCACCCAACCCTGAATTCATCCACACATTTATTCTCATTCCTGAGCTGCCCTCAGCTGCGTCTGTATGAACACAGGGATGGGGAAGGAACCTCTGATGTGTCAAAAAGTTGCTCAAACAGAAAAAAAATAATGAAATTTGTTCACTGACATGAACAAATGGCACAGGAGAAAGCAAACGGTGTCTCATCAGAAATAACCGGTACTGAGGGCAGCTCAGGTGCCACAAAACCAAGAYACTCTCACTTCTCTCAGCATTTCCTGTCTCAACAGCACACCTAGGATGCCCTTGAGAAAGGTTCTTCCMTCGCCTCGGCACAACAGCTCGAATTTCAGATAAAATCACATTTCAAAACGCGCTTGAGACAAGGTTAATTTTTGAGAACAAGGTTATTTTTTTTCCCCAGCTTTTTCACCCAGTAAAACAAACAACTGTCGAGAAAAAAAAACAAAAAACCATAATCTGCACAGCTTCCAGTATTTGCAGGCTGGGTGCTTCCTTCTCCTGCGGGATCTCGCTGTTCCCCACGCCCATCCCCAGGCACACCAGGCGCGTTTAGGGGCTCCGGATCGAATTAATTCACATCAATTCACATTTAGAACACGCTAAATTCGYGTGAGTCAATCACAGAACCACAGAGCGACTCTGAAGGCCACCCAGTGCCACCCTCTGCCATGGAAGGGACATCTCCCACTGTCCCCGATCGTTCCGAGTGTCCAACCCGGGATGGGGCAGCCGCAGTTTGGGGACCCTGCACGGGGCACAAGCGGCCGGGCAGTGCCGGGGCCGGGCTGCGGGCAGGGGGACGCGGGGACAGGGCTGAGCTGGGCCCGGAGGGTGGTCTGGGGACCCCGCACTCACCCGCGCGTACTTGAGCACCTCCTGCACCCTCCAGAAGCGATCCGAGAGGCGGCTGCGCAGCCACCGCGCCGCGCTCAGCACCACCATGGCTCCGGCACGGCGCTTTCCGGGGCGGCACCGCCCCACGGCCCTGCCCCCGAGTCCTTCTGGCCCTGCCTCCGCTCCTTCCTTCGCTCCTTCCCCTGGTCCTGCCTCTGGTCCTTCTCTCGAGCCTTCCCGGTCCTTCCTCCCGTCCTTCCTCTGATCCTTCTCTTGAGCCTTCCCGGTCCTTCCCCCGGTCCTTCCTTCGGTCCTTCCTCCGCTCCTTCCCCTGATCCTTCCTCTGATCCTTCTCTCGAGCCTTTCCGGTCCTTCCTCCGGTCCTTCTCCCGGTTCTTTCTCTGGTACTTCCTCTGATCCTTCTCTCGAGCCTTCCCAGTCCTTCCCCCGGTCCTTCTCCTGATCAGTCCCGGTCCTTCCTCCAGCTATTCCCCCAGTCCTTCCTCCCGTCTTTCCCTCTACTCTTCTCCGGTCCCTCCCGCAGTCCTTTCTCCGGATCTCCGGTTCTCTCGGTTCTTCACCTGATCCTCCCCCCGAGCCTTCTCAGTCCTTCCCCCGGTCCTTACCCTTATCCTTCTCCTGATCCTTCCCGGTCCTCCCCCTGTGTTCTTCTAATCCTTCTCCCGTTTTTTCCCCCGGTTCTTATTCCGGCAGTTCCTTCGGTCCTTCTCCTGAGCCTTCCCTGCCCTTCCTCCGGTCTTTTCCCGGTTCTTCTCCAGTTCTTTTTTAACCATCCTTCCCCCGGTCCTTCCCCAGCCCTTTCCACCCTCCCCGGTCCCCGCAGTCCGTGGCTGCTCCCTGGGCTGGGCATCCTCTGCCCCATCTGGGAATAGCCCGGGAATCATGGAATATCCTGAGCTGGAAGGGATCATCCATCCAACCTATGACCCTGCACAGACACCCCAAAATCCCATCCTGTCATCCCTGATTATTGATCCAACCCTTTTTTCTGCATCCAAAATCCCACCCTGAGCACCTCTGGCAGCGCTGTCCAAACTCTCCTGGAGCTCTTGGGGCCGTGCCCATGCCCTGGGCAGTGCCCAGCACCCTCTGGGGGAAGAACCTTTCCCTAAAATCCACCCTAAACCTGCCCTGGCACAGCTCCAGCCCTTCTTTCACCGGTCACCAGAGTATCACGGAGTTTCAGCCAAAATTCCCTGTAAGGAGGAGCTGGGCTGCTCGCAGTGTTCATTCCCACAGCTCAGTGAGGGGTTTGGAGCAGACTTTGGGCTGTGCACCCCAGCAGTGCTCAAACCACCGATTTGAGAGGATTTGGTGTTGTTTTTTTTTATGCATTCATGGGTAACAAACCTTACAGAATCCTGCGAGGGTTGGGGTTAGAGAACGGGAGACATAAAACCAAAATTTATGAACTGCAGTAAACCACAAGATGGTGCTGCCAGAAAATGATTCCTTGGGMGCTGCAGTCCTTGGCGTCAGAGAGCTGACGAATTTCTCTGATGCTCTTTMATCGTCACCGGTTTCAGCATTTCAAAACAACGATGTTCCTGTTATAAACTGCTCCTCCATCAAGATCTCTTTCCCACTTCTGGGCCAGTACTTGCTAAAAATGTGGAAATTTCACAGAATTGGAGAGGATTTTTTCTTCATATCGCCGAGGTTTGTCTGACACAAAGTTCACTTGGTTATTAAAAAAATCATTAGAATGTGTGCGKTTTTTTTTCCAAAGGAAAATAAATTTTTCAGAACACAATTTTCAGACCTCCCACTGGTTAAAATACATTTTCATTACAGCGAAAGAACTTCTGGAAAGTTTTGCTGGATTTAGCAAAGCTTCTTAGAATTTATGACACTTTTATGAATACTTAAGTTGTGTTTCACCATACCCCGTGCCATCATCAGCAGATGGTAAAACCAGCTGCAGGATATTTAGCTGCCCAGCATCGAGTTCATTTTTCCATGATTTAAGCCTAAAATTGATTTTTCTTCCTATAGTTTTGGGTTGGGTTCTTTCTGTTCGTGTGCCTYGTCGTTTTTTTCCTGCTTCAAAAGCATAAATCAAGCTGGAAAAATATTACGTCTTTAAATCTAAACAGATTTTAGACAGGCTGAGTAAACACCGAGACACATTTATGGTTTCCTGCACAAATTCAGACTTTATTATCACCGCTGTCTCTGGCCACTGAAAACAGGATGGATGCAGCAGTTATTTCCCTCTGGATGTCTGGACAGATCTGAGAAGAGATTTCACATTTTGCTGCCCTGAAAACTCCCCTGGGAGCCATTCAGCCTGAAAGCACAGAGAAAGAACATGATGAAAATGGACTTGTCATCCTCTGATGTCTGTTTTAAAGGATGTTTCTCTCTGTTTTATTTTTATTTTATTATTTTTTTTAATATCTCTCTGTTATTGCCGTGACTGTGTCTTGGAGGCTCCATGGCCATGGAGATGTCACTAAAATTCTTATATAATATCAATCAGATGAAATAATTGATAATTGCTGGGCTTTCATTACGAAAATATCAATATTTTCTGCAACTGTAACAGATGACTGCAGAGGACAGATGATTTCTGAGGAACACAGCGATTTTTATCAATTTCTCTATGATTCTTTTGTTATTTTTTTTTTTTTAATCCAGAGAGGATTTTCAGCCAACRAATCAGAGGCAGAATAATTAAAGTTGAAGAGGGACCATCTTGACCCGGGGCTGGATGGTTGGAGAGTGGCTCTGTGTCCAACCCCAGCCGTGGGGAGGCAGATGTGAAGGATTGGACAGCGCAGAGAGCTCCTTCTGCTCTGTAAACAGAGCTGAGGCAGAGCTGAGCTGCCTCACAACACTCTGAGTGGCCGTGGCTGCAGCAAAGCTGGGCAAGCAGCTCCTGTCCTTCATCCTTGCCACTCGTCCTGTTTGGGTGAGGCTGGAACGGGAATGTTTGCTGGGGTGTGGGGTGAACAGCGTGAAAAGGGGATTTTGCAGAAAAAGAACTGCTTGTGAGTGCCTGAATCTGAGGCTGCCAACGCTCAGCTGTGCTCTGAGGTGGAGTGGGACATTAAAG